TCCGTCCTCCAAATCTCCAGGATCACCTTCCTGAACGACAGGTACCACATCCACCACTCTCTCTTCTGCAGCCGACACAGTTCCAATCTCCGCATTGGGCATTTTTTCCTCTGGACCCACCGATTCCACCGCTGCCACACCCTCAGAAAGCGTTTCCATTTCTTCCCGATCTGGATGTTCTCCAGCGATGTCTGCTCGGCTTCCAGAAATCCCTTCCTCATCAGGAGAACCCGAGGTCGGGGCGTCACCACCAGCCCTAAGACCGCTATCCCTGATAGTAGAGGAAAAATCCTTTTCACCTACACTATTTACACCGCTGTTGACACTTTCCACGCTACCCTGTTGTGCCCTGAAAGACTCAGTAGGCGACGAGGACGAAGTAGTACCCAGTGCTGGCTCTTCTTCCACAGGGACAATGCCCATTCCAACACCAGACCCTTCACTGTTTCCAGCCATCCCAGTCTTCTTAGGCAACACCCATTGGGTATCTCCCGCGTCTAAGCAGTAAAGATATTCTCTCCCATCCTCGTGAAAATGGCGTTCCCATGTCTTCCCATCACAGTCGATGATTGGAAGGTCAGCAGCTTGAGACAATTTGCCCCCACCATCAGCGTATAAGTCTTCATCTGACTCCTGCTGTATTCTCGCTGCCTCCAATTCCAGGATTTCTCCTTCACTCATCACCATAGCAACAGGAACGACTCCTTCTGCGTCCCCAACGACGAGGATACTGCTTTTTGTCGCAGCAACAGGCGCAGTTTCTTCCGCTTCACCTGTCAACAGATCACCACTTTCAGCCGCGAAGCTTACTTTGTTGCGAGCTCGCTTGGAAACAGGGATAACATCCCCAACCAGCTCTGTCTGGCACCCTTGCTCCACCATCTTTGACGTAGAGGAGCTTGTTGTTGGCGCTCCCGTTGATTCAGCAGGTCCCGCAGCTCGAAGACAAAGCCCATGTTTACTCAGAAGGCAAAACTGCTTCCATCTGGTCTTCCAGTCCTTCCACCACCGGCTTCTCTCCGCCACGCATACCACCAGCATCAACCAGAGCTTCCACATTGGGAACAACTTTTTCACCCGTTGCAGACCTTTTGACACCACCTTCACCTTGATCGCCCACATTGGAGCTCGATGATGCCGTACCAGTCCGTAACCAGTTGGTCGCCATGGCTTCAACTATCACCCTAAAGCCGAAACACAGACCGCAGGGAACCTAATTTGGGCTCATAACCTACGGGGGCAACCGAAAGGGAGAGGAAACCAACCCCAACAGTCGCCAAAGATTTCACCCTGAACCAACCAGCAAACAACAGGAACTCAAAACTTCTTTTTGCTACCAGGCGCATGGCCCAGTCTTGAGCCATGAAGATCAACAGGTACATTGACCCTTCAACTTCCAACACCAACTCCTTTCTACAATACCAACTGCAGCTCCGCATAGGGTTTAGGGTTTTCCCTTCGAGCCTGCTCACCATGGCTGGAGGGCTTGCTCGCTGCGCGACTCTGCACCTCCGGCTCCAGGATCCGAAGCCCTTGAGGCCCTTGGAGCCCTTGGAGCCGTTGGAGCCTTTGGAGCCCTAAACCCTAAACCCTAAACCCTAAACCCTAAACCCTAAACCCTAAACCCCAAACCCCAAACCCTAAACCCTAAACCCTAAACCCTAAACCCCCAAAACCTTGTCGGCTACTGTATGGAGCCCCCTGGAACCAACTCAAGGCCCCAAAGCCACCTCAACCCTAAGCCTGCAGCCTATTCTCGATTCTTTCGCTGGCCACAGAAGGCAGCTGCAAGCCTCGGGCGTTTCTGCCTGCATCGCGGGTGCGTCGGCAGCGGCGCCTTTCACCGAAGAGGCAGGCCGGGGTTTAGGGTTTAGGGTTTAGGGCTTAGGGCTTAGGGCTTAGGGCTTAGGGCTTAGGGCTTAGGGGGTTGAGAGGTTTCAGAGTTTCAGGGTCTAAAGGGAGGGCTTTTGAGGGGCGTTGCATGGAGCATGCTTTGCAAGGTTTAGAGGGCTCATCTTTCCGGCAAAATGTAAAGAACTTGTCGGGATGCTTATGATCCAGGGCTTAGTGTGGAATGTAAGTCTCAGAATCTCTCAGCCTCCAGTATCTTGGTTCAAGGGTTCAGGGTTCAGGGTTCAGGGTTCAGTTTTTGGTTGGGTTTGGGCCCGCAGACACATGGAACCAGTCGTCGGAGAACCCTTCTCCTTGACGACTCCAACGGCACGGTACACGAGAAGGTGTGTTGACCTATGAGTCAACGCTCAAAGCCCGAAACCCCGAATCCTAAACCCTAAACCCTCAACCCGAAACCCTAAACCCTAAACCCCAAACCCATCCTAAACTCTAAACCCTAAACCCCCAGGATGGGAACCAGGTCTTGGGCCGCCGGAATTTCAGCCGTGGACTCAGAAACGAGGCAGGGATTGAGGCTGAGGGTTTAGGGTTTCGGGTTTAGGGTTTAGGGGGGTTTAGGGTTTAGGACCCCTCCATAAAACGCTTGGGGTTCGACGCTGTAAGGTTTCGGTGTTCGGGGTCTCTGCAGATTTTAAGGGGGGGTTGGACGCAAAGCAAGCCAAACAGCCAAGCCTGACACCGCGCTCTTCTCCGTCGCGTCGCTCGTGATGCCTCCAGACCCCCCAAAGTCTGAACTGTAGAAGCCCACAAAGCCCTACACCCCCGAAACCCTAAATCCTAAACCCCCTAAAGCCCTAAACCCCAACACCCTAAACCGCATAAACCAAGAACCTGAAAACCCCCATAAACGCCATAAACCCTAAGCCCTATAAAAACCCTATAAACCCTGGAAACCCTATACACCCTAATCCTATAAACCCTATATACCCATATAAACCCTAGCCCAAAACCCAAAAACCCTATAAACCCTGTAAACCCTGTAAACCCTGTAAACCCTGTAAACCCTGTAAACCCGGTAAACCCTGTAAACCCTGTAAACCCTGTAAACCCTGTAAACCCTGTAAACCCTGTAAACCCTACAAACCCCCCCCCCTCCCCCCCGAGCCACAACAGGCTAAGGGTTGATTGTTTGGGGTTTTAGAGATTCAGAACGGTACCAGTAGGGTGGACTGGCATCATGATCCAACAAGAAAAACGAAGGCCGTTGGGGGCGGGGGGGTTCCAAGCATGATGCCGATGTCATGAGCAGCAACAAAATCTACTTTGACAGAAACAGCAAGGTCTAGGGGTGTGGCTCAGCAGCATGGGAAGAAAGGGATGCATCAATCCCATACATCAAACCAAAACATGCTACCGCACTGCTGCCACATGCACTGGTGTTCTCAAACCGAACCCTAAACCCTAAACCGTAAACCCTATAAACCCTACACCCTAAACCCTAAACCCTAAGTCACCGGACGAGCCTCCCTGCGCCTCGAGCTTGGTGTCGCTGAGCCATGACACGGCCTGGACGAAGATCTGCTGACCTGATCCACTTGGGGGTTTACGATATTAGGGTTACCTGGTTTAGGGTTTAGGGTTTAGGGTTTAGGGTTTAGGGTTTAGGGTTTAGGGTTTAGGGTTTAGGGTACCCTATTGGAGCCCTACTATTTGGTGTCTATTGTAGGGGTCCCTTGCTTTCGTAAACCCCCCACTTGGGTTGACTTTTGCAGGGCTCGCAGCCCCTGCTGAAAGGTGGTCGAACGGAGAAGCAATTCCTGCTCAGTGCGGGGCCTCGCTGGTGCATGCCGCTAAGCCCGTCCTGGATTGGGGTGGAGGGGATGCGATGGGGGGGAGGCTATACTCCCCTTGGAACCTTAATGAAAATAATCTTTTACTTTCCTCTTGGGCTTTATATAAACAAAAAGAAAAAATAGTTCCCAAGGGTGATATAGGAGGGGGGGGGGGGCCAAAACCCCAACACAACCCGGCGGGGCAGGCAGGGGGGGTGAACACGCTCGACTGGTAGAAGCTTGTTCCGGTGGAGTGCCTGCATGAACAAGAGGTGTAGGGGAGTTTACAGGTTTAGGGTTTTGGGGGTTGGGGTGGGAAAGCAAAAGCTAGCGACAAGCCTCTGTGAGGTACATTCCGTACAGCGGACTTGGTGTTTTCCGCGTTCGTGCGGTTTACGAAGGTTAAGCTCAGGCTTTAGGGCTTAGGGCTTGGGCATAGGAACTGCGGGAAAGATACAACAGGTTGATGGCACAACGGCAGCTTATCCCAGTTGGACTCTCAAGAGAAGCAAGACTACCTGAGAGAAGTCTGCAGATGAAAAAGCCGAGCACTCTCCTTAGAACCTTAATAAACACATGATTGTGAATATCCTCTTGGGTTTTATATGAACAAAAATTAAAAAAAACAACTCCCAAGGGGGATATAGTGGTACAGTGGTACATTGAGACTTCCAAGGCCAGTCCTGGAGGAACTTTCGGCAGAGACTGTTCGCTGCCGGGACACTTCCCATCAGCCTTCTGCATGGTTGGGTGAGGATGCTTCTTGTTTCAGGGTTTAGGGGTTAGGGTTTAGGGTTTAGGTTTTAGATGTGGTAAGATACCAGTTCCCAAAATCACCTTATTTTCCCTTGTAAATCAAGAGGAACCCGAAACAATTTCCCAGAAGCACCTTTAGACGTAGATCAACCCCCCACATATCCCCGGTCTGCATGCGGTCTTTGGAGGCAATATAGAGGGCTGACTACGCAGCAGAAGCATGCATAAACCCTAAACCCTAAACCCGAAACCCGAAACCCTAAGGGAGTGAGTTGCTTCCGCCTCCCCGCGGCATTGAGCAGCATGTCCTGCCAAAGATAAGTGAGTTGAGTGATAACACAGGGCGGGTTGGCAACAAGTAGTCTAGCAACCACGAAGTCTCTCATTTGGGTTTGGGGTTGAGGGCTGTGTGAGGTGCAGCATGCACAGCCCAGCCTTGAACTCTTCTAAAGATCACCCGCTTCTTTCCATGCGCCATCTTGGCCCTAAAGCAATCAGCACCAGCACGTGTCCCTTGAGGAGCCGAAGCTGGTTTTGCCGGAGAGATCAGCACCCCGATTACTTTGCACTGAATGCAATGGCACTCACCTGCTCGGCATCAAGGCTTGTATCTTGTGGCCGCCCAGCCTCACGGAAGACGATGCTTGCATGCCTGGGTACGCGAACCTTGCTGCCCTGCCAGCCAGATCTTGGCTCCAAGTGGATGTTGCAGTGCTCCGCTCCATGCCAAAGGACTTGCCAAAGCCGCCCGGCACGGCGCCGAGGATGTGAGAACACTGCTTGTTGAACTCGGCTTTTGCCTCCTGCAGCCTGCATCACCTGTCCAAACATCCCAACCAGTCGAAGATCGCCCTTCAGCTTCCGTCCACCCATCAGGGTCACCACATCCCACGTTCCAAGGCACGAGACAGCTCGGCACGCGGCCTCGAGCTCCTCAGCCTGCAGCACCGACCGCCTTCTGCAGCCGCTGCTCTCTGCCAGCATGCGGCAAAACGTCCGCTTGCGGTTCAAAGAGCACAGAAAGGCCGTGACCCCCTCCCGGCGCACCACGGAAGAAAGGTCAGACACGGCATCATCCTCTGCCTCCATCTCGGCGGATCCAAGCATCACCACCCGGCCCTGAACCGACCAATCAATGTCAAATATCTGTGCAACCTTAGGCTCCAGAGATCGCAGCAAGAATCCACGAAGCGTCTGGGCCCGTTCATGGATGTCCGCCACTGGGTTGTTGTAGGAGATGTAGTCTGCATTTGGCCTGCCCGCCAGGCTCCCCACATCACTGCCAAAGCCTGCCGTGACTGGGCGGTCGACCCCTCCCTGCAGCTGCAGGAGTGGAACTCCAGGAGAACCATTGCTGGTGCTGCTGCTGTTGCGGGCTTGTCTTACATGCTTGCCATGATGCTGAAACCACTTGTGCTTGCCGCACCGCACGCGCCCTGACCAATTTTTCACCTCAAGGCACACAACTCCCCGACGGCTCAGGATTACTACGTCCACCTCTCGCCGTCTCTGGCGCTCACCATTTGGCACGCGAACATTTCTCAGCACGAAGCGTTGACCCATCCCCTGCGGCACAGCCCAATGCCTGGCAACATCTGTAACCACAGACTCAGCAGCATCACCCGCTTCCTGAGCAGCCAAGGGCAGTGCGGGTTCTGGATCCTCCCTCTGCCACGCTGTCCGCAGGCGCTTCCAAAGGCTTGCGCTGGCCGTGTCTGTGATGCCTGATACGGATCCTCCGCCAGTCGCCACCACGCGGGTGTCCGGCTGCATGCACAGAAAGCCGATGCTGGCTCTGCGTGGTGGACTCTTGAAAGCGTAGAAGTACTGAAACTACTGGCACCCTAAAGCCTACTCTAATTTTCAACCCTACATACTATAAACCCTGAACTCATGCCTCCCTCTTCGACATCTTACAGCTTGTGTACTGGCTCCCTCGGCACTTCGGCGCAACAACCGCGCGGCGATGACAGAAGGAATGGAAGGGTGTTTTTGGGAAATGCGAGAAGCGTCACTTCAGTTGTTCGTTGCGACTCCATGAAGTCAAAAGCCCGAATGGGATGGCAGATTATGGAAGGTTCTTGGAGGCCCTAAGCCCTAAACCCAAACGCTCAACTCCAAAGTCATCCCAAGAGGATGGTCTTGCTGGCCCCTAAACCCTAAACCCTAAACCCTAAACCCTAAACCCTAAACCCTAAACCCTAAACCCTAAACCCTAAACCCTAAACCCTAAACCCTAAACCCTACACCGAGGGATGCAGCCTTCTGGCTTGTCAGGCGCTCTTCCTCGGTTCAGATGCTCAGTGCCGACTAGACCGGCCCTCGACCCATGTCATTCAATCCATAGCCACACTGTGTCCTCCACAACCCCCAAGTTTTACCCTCCATACCCTTCGTGCCTACTGTAGGGGCCTGAGGGTAGTTGTGCCCTAAAACCTAAACCCTAGAAATCCCTAGAACCCCAAAGCCTTTCCGACCCCCCTATCAAGGGCAACCTGTGGGGTCCAGGCTCACACCCCCTGAGTCATGTCCTTCTCGGCGCTGTCGCTCTCCGCACTCTGGAGGTCCAACGTGGAGATGGCGCCGCTCACCTCGTGGGCCGCAGGAGGGTTAGGGTCACAGGGTTGAAGCGTTTAGGGGTCATTAATACAAAGAAGAGCCAACATGTGTGTGTGTGTGTGTATATGTGTATATATATATAGATATGTATATATGTATATATACATACATAACGTGTATGTATGTATACATATGACCATATAGCTCACCCCCCCCCCAATGGACCCACCGCGGGTGGCAGCCGAGTCCTAGCCAGATCAAGGGAAAAACAACAAAACAACAAACTAACAAAAACCAAAAAACCAAAAAAACCAAAAAAACCAAAAAAAAACATCTTTTCCAAAACTATGGGGCTGGGGCCTCCAAAAGATGGTTTTTTTGGTTTTCTCGAGAAAAAGATGGTTTTTTTGGTTCGAAACCATCTTTTTCTCGAGAAAATGATGGTTTTGAGCAACCATCCTTCGAAAAACCATCTTTTTCTCGAGAAAAAGATGGTTTTACCAGGGGAAGACCTCCAAAAACCATCTTTTTCTCGAGAAAAAGTTTCGAACCAAAAAAACCATCTTTTTCTCGAGAAAACAAAAAAGACCAAAAAAACCAAAAAAAAAACATCTTTTGGAGGCCCCAACCCCATAGTTTTGGAAAAGATGGTTTTTTTTTTTTTTTTTTTTTTTTTGTTTTTTTGGTTCTCGAGAAAAAATGTTTTTTGGTTCGAAACCATCTTTTTCTCGAGAAAAAGATGGTTTTGAGCAACCATCCCCTCGAAAAAAAATCTTTTTCTCGAGAAAAGATGGTTTTACCAGGGGAAGACCTCCAAAAACCATCTTTTTCTCGAGAAAAAGATGGTTTCGAACCAAAAAAACCATCTTTTTCTCGAGAAAAAACCAAAAAAAAAAAAAAAAAAAAAAAAAAAAAAAAAAAAAAACATCTTTTGGAGGCCCCAGCCCCATAGTTTTGGAAAAGATGGTTTTTTGTTTTTTTTGTTTTTTGGCTTTCTCGAGAAAAAGATGGTTTTTTGGTTCGAAACCATCTTTTTCTCGAGAAAAAGATGGTTGCTCAAACAACCATCCTTCGAAAAACCATCCTTTTTCTCGAGAAAAAGATGGTTTTACCAGGAGAAGACCTCCAAAAACCATCTTTTTCTCGAGAAAAAGATGGTTTCGAACCAAAAAAACCATCTTTTTCTCGAGAAAACCAAACAAACCATCTTTTAGAGGCCCCAGCCCCATAGTTTTGGAAAAGATGTTGTTTTTGGTTTTTTGGTTTTTTTGGTTTTTGTTGGTGTTTTTGGTTTTCTCGAGAAAAAGATGTTTTTTTGGTTCGAAACCATCTTTTCCACGAGAGAAGATGGTTTTGAGCAACAATCCTTCGAATAACCATCTTTGTCGAGAAAAAGGTGGTTTTACCAGGAGAAGTCCTCCAAAAACCAGCACTATAGGGTTATGTACGTAGGACCTTTAGGGTCTATTTGGCGCTGCGCTTGGCCTCGACCTCAAGGACTTCTGGGATTTTATGTTTTAAGGATATTATGCATTTTAAAATAGAAGAAAATCCTTAAAATCCGTAAAAAATAAAATCCGAGGCGCCGAATTTGGTTTTAGGAGAAGCCCCAAACGATTTAAATTTTTAAAAATCCTTAAAATCCATAAAAAATAAAATCAAAATAATTTATTTTTTAAGGATTTTAAGGATTTTATTCGATTTTAAAATGCATAAAATCCTTAAAAAATAAATTCGGCCTCTGATTTTATTTTTTAAGGATTTTATGCATTTTAAAATAGAAGAAAATCCTTAAAATCCGTAAAAAACAAAATCCGAGGCGCCGAATTTGGTTTTAGGAGAAGCCCCAAACGATTTAAATTTTTAAAAATCCTTAAAATCCATAAAAAATAAAATCAAAATAATTTATTTTTTAAGGATTTTAAGGATTTTATTCGATTTTAAAATGCATAAAATCCTTAAAAAATAAATTCGGCCTCTGATTTTATTTTTTTAAGGATTTTATGCATTTTAAAATAGAAGAAAATCCTTAAAATCCTTAAAAAATAAAATCCGAGGCCGAATTTGGTTTTAGGAGAAGCCCCAAACGATTTAAATTTTTAAAAATCCTTAAAATCCATAAAAAATAAAATCAAAATAATTTATTTTTTAAGGATTTTAAGGATTTTATTCGATTTTAAAATGCATAAAATCCTTAAAAAATAAATTCGGCCTCTGATTTTATTTTTTAAGGATTTTATGCATTTTAAAATAGAAGAAAATCCTTAAAATCCTTAAAAAATAAAATCCGAGGCCGAATTTGGTTTTAGGAGAAGCCCCAAACGATTTAAATTTTTAAAAATCCTTGAAAATCCATAAAAAATAAAATCAAAATAATTTATTTTTTAAGGATTTTAAGGATTTTATTCGATTTTAAAATGCATAAAATCCTTAAAAAATAAATTCGGTCTCTGATTTTATTTTTTAAGGATTTTATGCATTTTAAAATAGAAGAAAATCCTTAAAATCCGTAAAAAACAAAATCCGAGGCGCCGAATTTGGTTTTAGGAGAAGCCCCAAACGATTTAAATTTTTAAAAATCCTTAAAATCCTTAAAAAATAAAATCAGAGGCCGAATTTATTTTTTAAGGATTTTATGCATTTTAAAATCGAATAAAATCCTTAAACTCCTTAAAAAATAAATTATTTTGATTTTATTTTTATGGATTTTAAGGATTTTTAAAAATTTAAATCGTTTGGGGCTTCTCCTAAAACCAAATTCGGCCTCGGATTTTATTTTTTAAGGATTTTAAGGATTTTCTTCTATTTTAAAATGCATAAAATCCTTAAAAAATAAAATCAGAGGCCGAATTTATTTTTTAAGGATTTTATGCATTTTAAAATCGAATAAAATCCTTAAAATCCTTAAAAAATAAATTATTTTGATTTTATTTTTTATGGATTTTAAGGATTTTTAAAAATTTAAATCGTTTGGGGCTTCTCCTAAAACCAAATTCGGCCTCGGATTTTATTTTTTAAGGATTTTAAGGATTTTCTTCTATTTTAAAATGCATAAAATCCTTAAAAAAATAAAATCAGAGGCCGAATTTATTTTTTAAGGATTTTATGCATTTTAAAATCGAATAAAATCCTTAAAATCCTTAAAAAATAATTATTTTGATTTTATTTTTTATGGATTTTAAGGATTTTTAAAAATTTAAATCGTTTGGGGCTTCTCCTAAAACCAAATTCGGCCTCGGATTTCTCTATTTTAAAATGCATAAAATCCTTAAACAATAAAATCAGAGGCCGAATTTATTTTTTTAAGGATTTTATGCATTTTAAAATCGAATAAAATCCTTAAAATCCTTAAAAAATAAATTATTTTGATTTTATTTTTTATGGATTTTAAGGATTTTTAAAAATTTAAATCGTTTGGGGCTTCTCCTAAAACCAAATTCGGCCTCGGATTTTATTTTTTAAGGATTTTAAGGATTTTCTTCTATTTTAAAATGCATAAAATCCTTAAAAAAATAAAATCAGAGGCCGAATTTATTTTTTAAGGATTTTATGCATTTTAAAATCGAATAAAATCCTTAAAATCCTTAAAAAATAAATTATTTTGATTTTATTTTTTATGGATTTTAAGGATTTTTAAAAATTTAAATCGTTTGGGGCTTCTCCTAAAACCAAATTCGGCCTCGGATTTTATTTTTTAAGGATTTTAAGGATTTTCTTCTATTTTAAAATGCATAAAATCCTTAAAAAATAAAATCAGAGGCCGAATTTATTTTTTAAGGATTTTATGCATTTTAAAATCGAATAAAATCCTTAAAATCCTTAAAAAATAAATTATTTTGATTTTATTTTTTATGGATTTTAAGGATTTTTAAAAATTTAAATCGTTTGGGGCTTCTCCTAAAACCAAATTCGGCGCCTCGGATTTTGTTTTTTACGGGTTTTAAGGATTTTCTTCTATTTTAAATCAAGCTCCTAGGCGCCTAAGCGCCTACTTCTTCAACCCTTAAAACCTTAAACCAGTTCCTAAGTCCTAAGCTACCCCCTGCACTAGTAGATCCTTAAACCCTAAGCTCCAAAGCTCCTAAGCTCCTCGGCGCCTACCCCCTAAACCCCTAAACCCCTAAACCCTTAAACCCTAAACCCTAAGCTCCTGAGGTCCTAAGCACCTAAGTGCCTACCCCCTAAATCCTTAAACCCTCCTAAGCTCCTAAGCT